TGGGGGGTCACCACAACATGAGGAGCTATATTAAAGGGTTGTAGCATTAGGAAGGTTGAGAACCACTGTTCCAGCTGAAGAGTCTGAACTCTCAGAGACACCTCTGTCCAGCACTTGGATCTGTGGCAGGGCCTGGCTTGCTGGTAAACTCAGTAGGGCTGCCTTCTTGCTGTCATGGGCCAAGTTGGCTCATAATGGTTTGGTCCCCAGGGACTGATTTTTACTCTTATTTTCTCTGCCTAAAAAAAGCATTTTCTATCTTTGGTGCCTCATTTAAAACAAAAATACTTGTTGGCCGGAGGCTAGGGCAACAGACTTCCTGGCCTCCTACTGTTAGGGTAAGGTGTGCAGTGAACTGTAGCCCCACAGCCTGTAGAAGCCGGCTCTGATTTAGCAGGAAGTTCATCAGGAAAGACAGACTAAGAAAGGGAGAACAGTCGTCTCAGTGCACTAAACTCTCGAGTCAAAGAGGCATGCTTCGCTTAGTGTGATAATCACCCCATAAAGCTGCCCCAGGTTGTAATTGCTTCTCTGTCAGGCATGCCCTCATGGGCCTTTGCCCTTCTGCAGTCCATGCTAGGGTGGGACCAGACAAGGACTAGACCAAGGGAGTGGGGCTGGCCTCGACATGCTGCTGTCAGCCACTTAGCTTCCAGTGCAGCATCTCTGACTTCAGAAGACCCTCTGGCAATTTCATCCGGGGTATTCCCTTCTTCCGGAAGAGCCCCTTTTTGTGCCTGAAGTAATGTGATTGATGGTGCTGGGGTCTGGTATGGGAGGGCCTCAGATTTTCTCTACTGAGTGTATATGGCTTAGTTCCCGGGACTGAGGATCTGGAGTCAGCTCCATGTCCAAGTTAGGGAAACTTTGAGCAAGTTGTTTACTCTCTTTAGGCAGCCAGCTTATAAAGAGTCTATTAATAATGCACCTGGCAGGGCGGTTGTAATGATGAACGCGCCACACCAGTGCCCATTGCTCTGCAGGCCACAGGGTGCATTACAGTTACATGATCACAGCCTAGAGGAAAAGCAGATGCCTGCATGACAAGTAAGGAAATAGATCCTGGTTAGGCCCAGAGCCTGCTCTCCTTGTAGCTGGGCACTCTATACTGCCAGCTATGGCTGATGCCACTGGGGAAGCAGCCTCTGATTAGCTTGTGTGACCCTCGGTGTTTGAAGTGTATGCCATTTTTTTTTTTTTTCAGTAAGTTCAAGATTCTAAAGAGAGGTTTGGTGTGAGTAGTGGTAATTAACTCTTTTAAATCCTTCACAGTAGGACTTCATACTGGAAATAGTTGCGCTAGTGTTACATGGTACAAGCTGTCTTTCTTCCTGTGGGCTAGGAATATGGGGACTCATGCTTTATCCCTTTGACTTAGAAGTTTTGCAGACTGTAGTTTCTTGACCAAGAACTCTCAGAGCAATAGAGGCAGACCAGTGACCACTCACTGTTCAAAGACTACAGGGTGGGAAGCACCACCCTGTGTAAACTTGATACTGAGTGGCAGCATCCTCAATTTTGGTAGCACAAGAGAGACCCCAGTGCTGGCTAGATTAGAATGGAGTGAGTTCAGAGGCTTCTGGGAGGACCCAGGGCTGCTTGACATCTGGGACCAGGTATAAAACACATATCAGAGTAGTCTTCCCTTTCCCAGTGGCTCCTGGACTGGCAGCATAACCAGCTTGTCTTTGTCCTAGCATGCATCCACAGGCTGTTGGATGGGCTAGCCTGGGTTCTGGGTCCCCTTCTGGTTAACTTGAGCTCTTGGCTTCTCAGGGACCTCCTGTATCTGCTTTTCTGAATAGAAGTCCCTAGAATTACTTCCACTCAGGCTACATGATAGGGAAAGACAGCTTGAAGAAGAGAGGAGGCTGTGGTCTTGATTGGCTGTGAGATAGCCAGGCATTAGCAGGTGACTCCTGGGTGGGTGGCCAGATGTGATAATTGGTGACCGTGCTGAGATACTGCTTGAGAACTATGGAGGGTAGAGCTGGGAACCCTGGCTAGTCTTATCAGGGATGAGCCTGGCCGGGAGGTTGTGGGGAGTGGAGGATGCTGCTGAGAGCTGTGTAGATCAGCTGGATTATTTGAGAGATGGTCAGAGGTAAAAGCATGTATTGGCCTTCAGAAATGAAAGGGAAGACAAGCTCAGAGAAGCAGGTCTCTGTTGTTGGCCCTGTTGCTACCAAATAGCAAAGCCAAATTGGAGACAGTGAGGGTGTGGGGACCTGTTGAACACAAGGTTGTCAGTAGAGGCAGTCACATGGATATGGCCCTTCTGGAGGATTGTGTGAAAAGCGGGTTGAATCTCATCTTGCCCCCAAGGTACTTGGAAAGTACAGTTTGCTAGAGCAGTGCCTTTGATCTGCCCACAAAGTACAGTTTTTTCTGAATGACACCTTGAGGTTCTTCTTTGGTGGAAAATATGAACTGTCCCTTTTAGAGGGAGGTGAGACTTGTCCCTTATGTAACATGGGGTGGACAGGGCTGATCCTGTTTACAAGGTATATTGTCACCCAGTGAGAGGTGTTGATGTGGAAGAAACTCAACATAACAGAACTGATGTTATGATGTTATAAAGGACTCACTAATAGATTTGTGTAGGAGACCTTGAGTCACTCAAGTGTAATTTGGAGCTCTGCCTCCAAAATACCCCAAAGGTAAGTGGTCTGCTAACCAGGCCTGTTGGAGATAACGGAAATTTAGAATGCTAGGATGTTAATGTTTGTTCACCAGGATTGACCAGCCTTTAGGCTGCATTCCCATAACAAAAGACATAGCACTGACACTGATACAGAACCAGTCATTAGGACCATCCCTGAAGAATAGCATCTCAAGGGAGGCAGTGTAGGGTCACAACCATCAATAGTCCTGGTTGCATTAAGTCTCTGTACTCTTAGCAGGAAAAGCACTATTCTGCCAGGTGGGCCAGATGGACCTGGGCAACAACTGATAGAAAACAACACTGGTATACTCAAGAGCTATTTCTGGCAATATCTTTTCTTTGTAAACCTCCCACCTGCCCAAGGGGACAGACTTGCAGTCTCCTGTCTCTGTTTAAATTGTTCGAAGTGTAACTTGTGGCTGGAACCTGAAAGAAATTTAAGGATGACAAAGTATCTAAAATGCATAAGTCTACAGTGTATATAAGTTAGTGAAACCTGCTCAAGGCCAGCTCTTCCTTGTGCATCAGCCAGCGCCAGACATGCTGGTCCCTTACATGGTGTATGGAGTGATTCCTCCCTGGAAAGGCATGCTAATACTATTTCTATTAAAGTGGCTCTTGAACACCCGACTCCCTTGCCAGAGTCGGTGTCAATCTTCCAAAGTTGCTGGCCAGAAAGGGTCCCAACCTGCATTGGCCATGGGCTGTGTGGACAGCCATCTCACATGCCAAGGAAGGTGCTTCATGAGATAGGCCCCTTTACATTGGCTCTCGTGATAGATAGGAGGCAGCAGTGGGAGGTGCAGATGTCAGTTCTGAGTCCTGGCTTCTTTCTACATCGCTGTTTTCCACCTATTAGCTTCTATTGATTTTTGATTTAAATTTGCATTTATTAAAAACAAAGGGGAAAGGAAGCCAATCTAAAAACATGTATGTTACTGTTACAGTGGTGATCTGCCATTAGCCTCACAGCCTGTCCTTTGGTGACCCCAAAGGGTGATCCCAAAGGACCCCAGTGAGCCTGGGTCCTTATATGCCCTTAATGTAGTATGTCCTTTGCTACCAATATGACCTTTTTTTTTTTTAAACTGCCTTCATTTTCATTACACAAGGTTGGAAATGCCTACTTTCTAGGGGAAGCCAACTCTTCACAACTTAGGTCCCTGTGATGACCCCTTTAGATAAGGGTCCTTCCTAGTGCTAGGAAGGACATCTATACAAAGCTGGGGAGCAACCTAGCCTTTCTCTGTGTGTGATTTTGTTGTTTCTGTATGGTTTTCAACATAAATGGTGGCATGTTTTCTGTTTCTGTTTTTTTTTTTTTTTTCTGATTTTTTTCCCCTAGAGTGATTTTTTTTTTTTTTTAATTTTTGTTTTGTTTTTGAGACAGGATTTCTCTGTGTAGTCCTGGCTGTCCTGAAACTTACTCCGTAGACCAGGCTGGCCTAGAACTCAGATCCACCTGCCTCTGCCTCCTGGGTGTTGGGATTAAAGGAGTGTTTCACCTCTGCCCAGCTTGAAATTGTTTTAATAAATGAAAACAGTAATTCTCTTGGCTTGAAAGTATCACATGGTGGAAGTGTAATTCCAGCATATGAAGCTGGCCGTCTGCCTTCTCTGTGTCTGCAGAAGGGCTGAACCTCTGAGCTGGGGCAATGTAAAATGCCCCCTCCCTTTGCAGCCTTTCCTGTTCCTCTTCACAAGCTAATTAGTGTCTGTTCACCTGAGTCCCCTGCAGGAGTGGTTCTGGATTTACATCCCTCCTCAGACTCAGGGCTCCTGAGAAGGTCTCCGGCTGTGGCCTCCTCCTGGTGGCATACCATGAGCTTCTGCTAGAGCCAGGCTCCCACAGCTCACACCAGTCCAGAGGGGTGCTGGGGCCTGAGCAAGGTCAGTTTGGGCAATGGCTGCAAGGACTGTGTTCAAAACAGGGCCTCTTATGCCATGGGTGCTTCTGTGAGCCTCTCTTACCCTGTTGTGGCGCTTTACTTAGGCCTGGGCTGGCCCAGGGTCTGCAGATGTGTCCTGGATGGCTTCCTTGAAGGAGGAGCTGTGGAGCTCTTGGGATGAAGACTGGGGCTAGAGGAAGGAAGGCCATAGTCGCAGTGGTCTGAGAAAGCAATCTCCAGGGCCTTTCTGCCTCATTACACCCTCTCTGTCTCAGCTTATCTCTGAGCACTCCGGGAAGAAAGAAACCACACAGCCTTGGCATTGGCCCAAGAGAGCCCAAACATTCTGGCTGGGCTGCCAGTGAGGTCAGGTGCCAGAGTGATTGAAACAGGCTGTGTGTACTTTTCTGAAGAACCCTCCCCCCCTTCCACCCACTTATTTCCAGGAAATGCTACTGTAGATAAGCTGGAGGACTTCATCAACAATATCAACAGTGTCTTGGAGTCCTTGTATATTGAGATAAAGAAAGGAATCACGGAAGATGATGGGAGACCCATTTATGCTCTGGTATGTGTGATAAAGTGCCCTCTAGTGGCATTTTTGGAAACTGCAACAGAGGGCTCTTTTGAGAGGGAGGAAAAAGAGCCATGATGATCAACTTTGTGGTAAAGACCCAGCCTGATCACTATGCGATTTATTTTTAGGTGAATCTTTCTACAACTTCAGTTTCCAAAATGGCCACGGATTTTGCCGAGAACGAGCTGGACCTGTTTAGAAAGGCTGTGAGTACAGTAGCTCTCGCTGCTACTGTTGGCTGTACTTCTGTGGGAGGAAATAGAAACTGCAGTCATGGAGGTCACTGTCATGCTCCCCACCTTCCTGGGTCTCACGGGGAGTGACAGGCCTTAAACCACCTGCCAAACAAATCACCGGAGAGCTTGTTGGAATGCATGGGTCATAGTCCCTGCCCAAGAATGCTGAACCCAAACCTGCACTTTAATGAGGTGCTCAACGCATGCTGACGAGCAGTTTTCTCAGGCCATCTGTCACACACTGGCTAAGACTGTGCTTCTCAGTCCTGGAAGCATGTAGCAGTTATTGGGAAGGGAAGAAAGGGCTGTTCCACTCTGGCCCAGGACAGATAGACTTTCTAGTTCTGTGGTTTCATGATGATCTGGGCTGTCAGCAGAGGTGTGGAGAACAAGGCTGGGACACACCTGTGCATACATAGGACACCTGGCACCTGTCCTGCTACAGATAGAAGTCTTAGGGAACGTGCCTAGCCCGCCCGAGTCCTTGAAGCCTCTTTGGACCCACATTGGCTCTGCTCCTCCACCTCTGAGTTTGGAGAAGTGCTGCCTCATGTACCCAGTTATTCATCTGTCTCCTTCTTCAGGGAGATGGCAGCAGGGCAAGAGCCCTATTCTAGGGTGGTGTGACAGGAGTGGTCATCTCATCAGTTGTACTGGACATGTCTACTGATGTATATTATAAATTAAAATCTTGCTGAAGGGCTGTCTGTGGGCCATTGTTCCCTGGGTTGGGGCCATTTTAGCCCATCCCTGCCAGGGCTCGCTGGTGGCTTAGGCCCTGTGTTTGTTATCCTAGTAGATGAATGAGGCACCTCTTTCTCTTGCAGTTGGAACTGATTGTTGACTCAGAAACTGGCTTTGCCTCTTCTACAAACATTTTGAACCTGGTTGATCAACTCAAAGGCAAAAAGATGAGGAAGAAGGAAGCGGAGCAGGTGCTGCAGAAATTCGTGCAGAGCAAGTGGCTGATTGAGGTACCCGAGGGCCTTCCATCTGGTTCACTTGAAAGTGGCAGGTTCCTTCTCTGCTGTAAGCTTTCAGTGACCTATGAGGAGTGTCTGTGTTTCCTGACACTCACATGGTCTGTCTTGGGTGCTACAGTCACAAGTGGAAGAGGCCAGAATCACTGAAGGATTCATCTGATCGCTGGTGCAGACAGAGGCAAAGTGTGGTGGTTTGAGTGCGAATAGCTCCTGCCCAACTCAGATGTTTGAATGCTTTGTCCCCAGTTAGTGGAACTGTTTGGAAAAGATTAGGTGTGGTCTTGTTGGAGGAGGTGTGTCACTGGGGGGTGGGCTTTGAGGTTTTAAAAGACCCCCATCATCCCCAATGTGCTCTTTGCCTCCTGTTAATGGATCAAGATGTAAGCTGTCAGTTCCAGTGCTAAGCCTGTCTGCCACAAAGGTCATGGTCATGGTCGTACCCACTGTGAGCACCAAATTAAATGCTTTCTGTGTGCTCTTTGCCTCCTGTTAATGGATCAAAATGTAAGCTGTCAGTTCCAGTGCTAAGCCTGTCTGCCACAGTGGTCATGGTCATGGTCGTACCCACTGTGAGCACCAAATTAAATGCTTTCTTTTATAAGTTACCTCAGTCACAGCAATGAAAAAGTAAGATAAAGGTCAAGTTGCTGGGATGAGCATGGCCCTAACACTTGCCTGGGTTTGATCCCTGGTACAGGTGACTGCTCTTTCATTCCTGTACCTGGGGAGAAATGAACCCTGGTATGAAAGGGCAAGTGTGAGAGTGTGAAGTACCTTGTTGGGCCACCTGCCATAGGAGGCTTTTAGAGTGCTTGTTGTGATGGCATTGTTAGCATGATGTTGCTGAGGTTCAGTGCTCTGGTCTTTGCACTATGACACCGACATTAGAGGTGCAAAGAGGACATGTAGACACAGTAAGTCTGGGAGAGAAGCAGGCTGTGTGATGAAGTTTCCTGGCTGGATCGAAGCAAATGCCCCAGGTTTTTCCCCATAAAAGGCACTGCTGTTTGCATAAGCCCAGACCTGGACTCAGGTTGGCCCTGTTGATCATAACTCTGCCCCCACAATAGCCCCAGCTTACATCTGATGGCAGTACTACATCATCCCTCACTTCTTCCTTGGGAAGTCAGACCCATAGCCCAAGGCTGCCATTTGTGGCCTCAGTTGCCCTTAACTTCTTTCTGGGCAGCTTGCTAGAATTCTAATCCTGGGTATTGCTGGGAAGAGAGGCAGGAGTGGCCATGGAGGGTAAGGGCCAGCTTGGGGACATCAGTGTCCTGTGGAGGTGTGTTGACCACAGCTTCGTGATTTGCATATGTTGACACTCTGCAGTTTGAAGCCCGGGTAACAAGCCTGAGTTAGGTGTCTGTAGCACACATCAGTGACTCTCAGTTTCTTGTCCTCAGGGCTAGGTTTGCCAATGTGGAATGTTCTTGGTGTGTTCTCTTTGAGGCAAACTTTTTGAGAGCAAGGATTCTGACTTCATTGCCCTGTTGCTGAACCTGCCTGACACCTGTAGTGCTCAATAAATCTTGCTGAATGGATGCCTGGTCTAGCAGATGAAGCCAGAGACACTGTACTTGAAACTTACAGATGGTAGTAGAAAAGCTTGCTCACTATGGACAGTTCTTTTTGCCCATCTCTTTGCTTCTGAGAGGAAGGTTCCCACCTCCAGCATCTTGAGGCCTACCATGGTGTCCGTGGCATCCAGGCCCCATCTTTCGGTGCCTTCCTTTCAGAATGCAGATGCTGGCTCTGCCTTCTACAGGGAAAGCTCTGAACTGTTATCTGGGCTTGATGGAAGTTCTAAAGAATTCTGTGAGCTGCTGTGGAGGGGAGCTCTGCAAACTAGTGTGCCAGCTGCTTCTCTCTGCCTTGACACCCATCAGCCCCTCACTCTCCTCAGCCCTGCCACTGAACACCTCTGGAGTTCTTGTTCACCATGTATCTGATGAAGGAAGGCATTGGCTCAGGCAGTACGGGGTGTGGTTGGGAGAGCACCTCCTGGCTCCTCCACTGTCTCTGGCTGTGTTTTCTGGCCTGGACACCTTGGGCAGGGTGGCTGTGAGTTCTGTGGGGGACCCATGAAGGACTGGTGACAGGGTTGCTAGTTGGTCCCTGACAAACCTTCCTGGGCAGCCGGTTCCTTGATCAGAGGGACTGAGTTTTAGAGTCATCTCTGGCTCAGAAATGCAGCCTTCATCTGCTAATGAAGGCTTCCCATATATGGCTCAAGGGTACTTTTCCTTCCGGGGAGCTCTGGCTTGGCTCTGAGGTACTGTCAGCTGGGTGGTCCACTGGGAGGCTCTGGACTGGAGGGTGGTAAGTTCAGGCATCAGAACCTCATCTACTACTGACTAGCCACATCTCCCTACATGCCAGGTTGGCTCCCTCTAGTGGGGTCCAGCCTCAAGAGCAGGGGAAGGTGGGTCAGGAAGCTGGCTAAGTAGTGGCCCACCACTATGGATCTAAGATCCACAAGCACCCTCCCCCACCATGTGGTAGGTTGGGAAGGAATGGAGGTGTGTGACTGTGCCAAACTCAAGTCAGCTCTTGCTTGTGAAAGACAGTGACGGGGGAGAACTGTTGGGGCTGTCCTCTCAGCCTCCCTCTACTACAGTGCCATCTTTTTATGTGGCCTGAGCTGTCAGCTTCCCTCTGCCCACTTCACATGCCCAGGACCACCGAGACTCCACGCTAGCTCTTCTAGCTTCCCATCAAAGAAGTAGGGATAGCAGTGAATGTGGCTGAGTCCACATTGCTCATTGTTGACTGTGACGAAACCCCTCCAGCAGACTTGCCTCTGCCTGATTGGTGGTGGTATTTGCTACGTAGTTATATAACAACATAGCTCGTGTTTCCTGGCCTTCCTGGCTCTTCCAGCAAACTTGCCTCTGCCTGATTGGTGGTGGTGTTTGCTACGTAGTTATATAACAACATAGCTCGTGTTTCCTGGCCTTCCTGGAGTATGGACTGTACCCAGACATGGAGACCAGGAGGCCTGGCTTCCTTTGTAGGCTCTGCCACTCACACTGATACAGGGGCTCCTTCCTGCTTCATTAGTGAAGCGACAGGGCTGGCAGTGATGTGGGAGCACCGGTGGGAAGGGGTAGGAGAAGTGGGCACCTGGCTGGGGTTGTCTCGGGTGGCTCATTGGGAGACTGCCTCTCTTACTTGACCTCAGTCTTCCTTCGCTGAAGACACTGTTGTGACTCACTTGTGGGGCAGCGGTGAAGATGGAGTTGTCATCACATCTGTAAGAGCAAAGAGGTCTGAGGTCTGAGGTCTGAGGGTGAGAGGATGCTCACCTCCACTGTCTATCGTGAGGTCATCACATCTGTAAAGGCAAAGGGAGGGTCTGAAGGTGAGAGGATCCTCACTTCCACTGTCCTTTTGATCTCTATCTTAGTTTCTCTTTCTTGAGGTTTGGCTAAGGGGACATTGCTGACATTGGTTGGCTGGGATTGGTGGTAGCCTGCAGTGACTAGAGCATCCAGATCTTGACCTCCTGCACTCTGGGCTGTGGGATCAGGGGAGTCAGCACTGAGCCAGTGTGTATTGTGTCTCCGCAGAAGGAGGGGGAGTTCACCTTGCATGGCCGGGCCATCTTGGAGATGGAGCAGTTCATCCGAGAGACCTACCCGGATGCTGTGAAGATATGCAACATCTGCCACGGCCTCCTCATCCAGGTACTGATGATACAGTGGGAGCAGGATCCTGATACTCAGCCCACTGGGCCTCACTGTTGTTGCCCCCAGGATCAGGCACCTTCTGGACAGACATCCTGCTGGTGCATCCCTAGTTCTCCTCCTGGCCATTCAGTTCCTAGCCCAAGGTGCTGATGGGTGTTGGGTGATAACTTTTCAGTAGAAAGGGTCCCTGGAACTAGAGTTACAGTTGGTTGAAAGCCATCTAGTATGGATGCTGGGTACCAAACATGGGTTCTCTGCAAGAGCTGAACATGTTCCTAACCACTGAGCATCTCTCTCTCCAACAGCTTTATCACAACACAGACACAAAACTTCGGTTTACTGGTTGTAATGGCTATTCTTGGTTGCCAACTTGACTATATCTGGAATTAATTAAAACCCAAGTAGCTTAAGTCTTGGTAGCTCTATGATAAATGTCTCTCTGTCCCTACCATTCTGCTTCTTACTTGAACTTTGCAGGCTGGGTGCCATGTTTGCTTCTTTTTATCTTGGGCAACCAGGCTCTATGCTGAGTTTCTGTGTGAGTATCCACAGATGTCTGTGATCTTTCTATGGTCAGATTCTTGGAGGTAGAGTCTGTGGCTTACCCCATGCTTGTGTGGATCCTAAGCACGTGATACATGTTGCCACTGGCCTACTGCAAAGCTCTATGTCTATACCTCCACTGGGGAATCTCTAAGCAGTGAGCCTGAGTCTGGAGCTACAGAAGCTTGGTGGGGGGTGCGGTTTTCAGCTTCTCTCACCTATGTACACTTGTTCCTGTAGTGCAGGCCCTACAGTAGAGCTTGGGGTTGTTACCAGCATTAAGTTGGAGTCTGGAAGTTCAAACACTACAACCTGCTAGCCATCCACCTATGTACACTTGTTCCTGTAGTGCAGTCCCTACAGTAGAGCTTGGGGTTGTTAACAGCATTAAGTTGGAGTCTGGAAGTTCAAACACTACAACCTGCTAGCCATTTTCTTGCAGCTTTCTGAATGTTTGTGAAGTTGAGGGATGTCCTGGCTCCATGGTCATCAGCCTTTCTTGTTTCAGGGTCAAAGCTGTGAGACATGTGGTATTAGGATGCATTTGCCTTGCGTGGCCAAGTACTTCCAGTCCACCTCTGAACCACGCTGTCCTCACTGTAATGATTTCTGGCCCCACGACATTCCAGGTACACGGCCTCCAGAATGCCCATAGGATGGGGTGGCCTTGTGATGGGCTGTCTGTGAGACCTCAGTTCTTAGGCTGTGTATCAAGAGCACCTTGGGAGGGAAGGCTGAGGAGGACTCTGAGCATGAAGGTCAGTGTTGGTGTCCTGATGAAGCACAGGCAAAAGCTACCTGCCTGCCTTTGTCTAAAGGGCCTAGAATCCACTAGAAACCTCAAGGCTTGTGAGAGTCCCACACAAGGCTTTTCTCCTAGCCATCCAGGAAGAGGGATGGGAAAGCCACTTCTCAGCTCCCTCATTGAACTTTGCTGCCTGGCTCACGTGCTGGGGGAGGAGGGTTACAGACAGGACAGGTCCTCTGCATGGGGGGATAGCTATAGACATCAGCTGTGTTCTGTGGAATCAGTCCATTCATCATGATGTTCACTGTGTCTCCCTGCTGTTCTATACACAGAAGTCTTCGACCCTGAGAAGGAGAGGGAGGCTGGCATCTCCAAGTCGAGCAGAAAGTCCTTGCGGACCCGTCAGCATTAGCTGTGTCCTGCATGGCTCTGGCTGTTGGTGGGCTGACCCTCATGGCCCATTTAGACCAGGGGCCTGGCCATCCACATGGCACATGAACTGCCTCCCTTGTTGATATTTGCTGTTAACATATTTTTAGTAAATGTTTCCTGATGGTTGCTGTGCTCTGCAAACTAGAGCTTGTGTGGGGCTGGGTTCCCCATGGTGAGGTGAGTGAACTCAGTGGCAGCACTGGGTCAGAGCCACTGTCAGCCCTGGCCAGGTGTCTCTGTGTCTGGTTCTGGGCAGTTTTGTTTTCGCTGTGGTTTTGTTCCATTACCTTGGCCTTGGTGTCTACGGCTATAGTAGGACCACTGTGGCCTCAAGTCAGTAGCCCCCGAAGGCTGAGCTGGACTAGATTTGTGCTGTTCCCATGGGACCTTTTGTCCCCCATCCACCCACCAGTTATTTCAGAAGGTAACCTGAGAGTCAGTCTAGCCTTCTTGTCCCTGGCATCAACCTTGTGTTTTCCTCAAATCCTGCCCAGCCCTTGCATCTACATCACACTGTCCTCAAATCCTCTCCAGCCCTTGCATCTACATCACACTGTCCTCAAATCCTGTCCAGCCCTTGCTCTTTGGCCCAACAGCTACTGTCCAAACAAGAACCCACCCCTTATCCTCATCCTGCTCTGCCCCTGGCTCCATCCCCTTTGGACATGCCACACCCTGCTGAGACCCTGTTTTGATTTCGGATGGTTGGGTTGAATTTGGACTCAAAGTGATGGTTCTCACCTGTTCACCTCAGCCTTCCTTCCTTCTTCAGTTCCTCCCCTTTGGTCCCTGGGCTCACCACCACAGTACCCAGTGCCCTTCCTTGATCAGCTCTTGCCACACTGTGGTTCTCTGATGGCTTCTATTCTGCCCTTCTAACATGTTAGAACCCATACTGGCCCAAATGAGGAAGGATGTGGCCACAGGTTCCTTCTGGAGGGCCTAGGGTGGTGGTTCCAGTGATGTCACAGGTCACCCCACTTTTTGCCTCTACTGAACTCTGTCAGGAAAGCAGAACCCATCTAGAAAAGCCAGAGCTTGGAGTTGGGGGTCTCTGGGTGGGGAACTTGAGTCCTCTGGTCCCAGGATGCCCTGCACCTTCAGAGCCTTCAAGGTGTAGCTTAGGGCCCTACCCTCAGTACTACACTGGGTAGGTGGCTTTCCACTCCATGCTTTGGGATGGCCAGCTGCCTGCCTATCTTATGTTGCAGTGTTACAGTTCAGGCCGTCCCTGAGGGTGACGAAGGAGCTCTGGAGATAGCTTTCCTGCCATCTAGCTCCCTGTCTCCAGCATTTTACCATGGTACCAACCAGTTGTGTAAGCATCCCAAAGGGACTGACACTTCGAACCCAAAACCCTCACAATCCCAGATCCTAGTCTGATGCCCAACTAGACTTTTCCAGTCTGCCCTGCCCTCTCTGCCACTGCCCGATGGTCGCACTGGTGCCACTGGGTGGTAATCACTGACTAGACCAGGCCCCTCCTGCTGTTCCGAGATCCCAGCCTTTCCACTTCCAGGCCTTTGTCTATACTATGGCATCTAAAACCAGTTGGCTTCACCCCTGATACTGCTCCAGCTGTGTTTTCCTTTCTCTTTCCCAGGCCTGGATGTCCCTCTTGGGGCTTGTCCTAGTTTACTTCTGTTGCAGTGATGAATACCATGACCAAAAGGAACTTGGGGAGGAAAGACTATTTCTTCCAGCTTCAGTCCAGCAGGAAGGGTAGGAACTCAAGGTAGGAGAGAACTGGAGGCAGGAACTGAAGCAGAGGCCATGGAATGCTGCTTACTGGCTTCTCTTGGCTTACTCAACCTGCTCTCATATACAACCCGGGGCCACCTGCCCACAGGGATGACACTGCTGCTAGTGGGCTGGGCCCTCACAAATCAATCAGTAATCAAGAACATGCCCTACAGACTTGCCTACAGGGCAGTCTGACGGACATTTTCTCAATTGGGATTACTCTTCCAAGTTGACAATAAAAAACCAAACAAACAAAAAACCCAACAAGGACAGGGCTGCTGTCCCTGCTGTTGGGAGTGGGCCCTAAATGCTATTCTGAAGTTCTGTTCTGTCCCTCCTCATTTTACCTTAGATTGTCAGTCACCCAAACATGTCCCACCAATCCTCCTTGTTGCCCTTTCCTATCTCATTACCCTGTTGTACTTAGCTTGGTTCAATTTTATCATATTTTGGTCTTGGTGATCCTTACTCCATAGTGTGTTTAACACCAGGACAAGAAGCTCACATAGCTGAGTGCCATGTCTCCAAGGCCTGGCCCAGAACCATGACGTGGAGCAGATCCTGTGTGCTGTATGAATGATGGGCTGATGGGTCTTCACACTTGCTCTTTTCTTGGCTGTGAAGGGCCTGTTGGTGCTGTTTCCAAGCCAGCTTGAGAGTCCACATTTCCCAGTGAGCAGAAGGCAGGCCTGTAGGCAGGTTCAAGCAACCTTGGGACCTGCCCATAGGTGGAACCATTCCATCCTCCCTGCCTCCCACCTGGTGATGACTCCTGCTGCTCAGCTGTGGCCCAGGATAGTTGTCATAGGTGGTACTGTAAAGGCCAGGCCACTCATGAAGTTGAAGCCATACAGGTGAAGTGTGCCAGTGCTTGAGCCCCCGGGGATGTGTGGCTCTTCATTAGGTTACATGGGCTGGAATGCTGACCTTCCTACTCTATGCCTTGGTACTCTGTGCAACATTGCTGTTGCAGTAATTGTTCAGGTGAGATTATGTAAGCAGTTGTTAATAGTGGGGGCAGCTTCAGCCTACTGTACGTCCTCCCTGCCAAAGCTAGCTGTCTAAAAAGCCATACTTTGATGGTCTAGACTCCCAGATCCTGTGTGACCAAGCTTACATTCCTTGGCCTGGTCATGTGGGATGTGGTGGGGCTGGGAGCTCGGCCTGTCAATCATCAGCCATCCCTGAGGCCACAGGCACTGCCCCAGGCCTAGCCACCAGCATCCTTACTGGTGATCCTTGGTTTGAACTGAAAGGACCAGCACTTGACACTGGGGTCAAGATGCAGGGAGGGAGATGAAGTCAGAGCTTCCCTCCTTTCCCTTCCAGAAAAGGGAAAACAGTGAAACCAAGTAGAGACCAGAGAGGTGGAGGAGGGGAAGTAGGGAACAGTGGTCTTGAGTCCAGACCTGTTCTGAGCCGCCCAGGAGTGCTGTAGGAACCCATAGGTTTTACCTAAGCTAATTCAGGATTTGTTTGTTTTGTTTTGTGAGACAGGGTTTCTCTATGTAGCCCTGGCTGTCCTGGAACTCACTCTGTAGACCAGGCTGGCCTTGAACTCACAGAGATCTGCCTGCCTCTGCCTCCTAAGTGTTGGGATTAGAGGCATGTACCACCACCTGGCCAGGATGGGTTTTATCACTAACAAGCCAGGCCAGCCCATCCAGAGCTAGGCCTGCAAACTCTATAAACACTTATAGTTACAGCCTATACTGCCAGCCTCCCAAGGCTCCAGAGTCCTCACCCACTGTGTAGGCCCCGTGGCCTTAGCCAGCTCCTGCCTGTCTGCCTTTTCATTGTCCTGACTGCTCTGGTCTCTGCTTCTCTGGGCCAGCCTCCTTTGTGTGACACATGTGGCTCCCTTCCTTCAGTACTTGCCACTAATAGACCATGGGCAGAGTGTCTCTCCTAAGGCCCATACTTCCTACCCTTCCTTTCCCAATGCCTCTGGTTGCCTGCTCTGCCAGAGACAGCAGGGTAATTGGGTTGAAGAAACGTTTTTTTAAATTCAGAAAATATTTTTATTTATGATATTGAAAAAATTCAAGTTACAGAGAAAAGAAATGAAGCATCTATAATTTGGAAGGCCGAGGTACACACAGCAGCTCTGCTCTTACAGAGTGGCTGGGGGAGCAGGACTGTTGGAATCTAGCAGCATCCAGGGCCTATGCCTTCCCCCAGGCTCACTGCCTCACACCAGGTGAGGTGTCTGCCTGGTGGGTCCTTTGCACTCTGGCCCTGGCTATGACTGGGTGAGGTGTCTGCCTGGTGGGTCCTTTGCACTCTGGCCCTGGCTATGACCACCAGAAGCTGACTGAGAAGCTCAGGTCCAAGGCGCGCACGTAATGCCAATACTTAGCAGGTATAAAGAGGGTCTCTCCTGGGGACAAGATGCAGGACAGGAATGGGGCCTCAGCAAACTTGGGAAACTTGTCCAGGTCAGGGTTCTCAACATCAACCTGCAAAAGGCAAGAAAAGTCATCTGCTGGTCTCTAGGGACAGCAGGCCCCATGTCACCGATTCCCCATGTGCCCACCTGGCTGGTGTTATGAAGAAGGTGCGTCTCATGAGGATACACTGCCTCGGACTCTTGCGGGGAATACAGCCGGATGTACTTCCTTCCTAACACCTGGGAGACAAGAGACTCATCAGTTTCAGGACAGCAAGGCTGTCCCGCTGACTACAGGCCTGTGGACCTGTCCTTCCAGGCCTTTCTGGTGTTCCGTGTCCTGCTGCCTTGTCCCACATGCTCTGACATTCAGAGAGTGCTCACCTGCAGGTACCTTATAGTTCTGCATGTAGCTAAGCTCAGCCAGGCACTGTGTGTGGACCTGGTTTAATCTCAGGGGTTTCCTCTTCACCTCAGTTGTGAGGAAATTGAGGCAAAGAGGTTGCCCAAGTTTACTAAGGTGACAGCTGGTGGCCATGCCAGGCAGTAGGCTCCTGGGCCTTGGCTCTTAGCTGCTACTGAGCTGCCTTGCAGGGCTGGCCCAATGCTCTGCAAGAATGCTCTCATTTTAAGTCTTTTTAGCAACTCAGTCTGTGACAAGTTCTCACAGCAGTGGCTGTGTGTTGCCTCCCTTGTGACAAACCTCTGATTGAGTCTCTGGGAACATCTGTCCATGGCTGAGAGACCTTGGCCCCATCCACAGGTGCAAGCTAGCAGTGGGAGTGAGGGTGGCTGGCAGGTGACAGAGAGGGCATGGGGCTGCTAGAATATGCCAGGCCCTCCTCCCAAGAGCTTTCCTGTCTGGCCCCAGAGAAATCCCTCTTGGGTGTAGCCTTGACCTGGGAGAAGTCCTACCCCAGGGCCTCAGGACTATTTTTTTGTATGCATTTCTGTCTACATCCTTTTTACTACCCCCCCCCCAAACACACACAGTTCTTTGAGACTAGGT